TTGTGATAGCATGATTTGTTACATAGGACGCCGGTCAGATCGTTTGCCTTTGCAGGACAACTTACTGACCTATCCAAATAGTTTAGTTGGCAAACAGATACATGTCAGCCATATGACAAAACAGTACGTACTCCGTGTTCTAGTAAAGGCGCTGTGATGGCTACCTCAATAATTATAGGTCCGTATGAGCTTTAGCTGCAAGTCCTTCTTGACTTAAACTGACCGGGGTGGAATTTAATAAAGGCGTCAGCCGGCACGTGTAAATTAATGGCCAGACGTCTGTGCAGATAGGTACAAAGGCATAAATTACAGTTTCGCAAAACACAGCAGCCTAATTTTGATTTATGACCGCCAACTACCTGTCAGTTACTCACAGTAAACATGCAGGCACTCTAGGTTGGATGGCATTTTATAGACTTTTTCAGATCAGCTGTGGGCCTCAACAGTAAAGTAAGCCGACCTACTATTCCGGGCGTTTGGTCCACTGGTATTTATTGCGAGGCTTACCAACAGAGGCTGGGCTTCGGGAGCTGGCGACTGACTTTTTCGACTTGCTGGGCAATTACCTACAACCCAAGCGATGCAACGTCTTCTTGGAAAAAAGGCGTGATGGTTTTACTAGCGTGGAGTCATGCGAGCATTCTGCACAGAGGATAGGTTCCTCGGATCCTTTCGCATACCGCTTCTATTATATATATGTTTGATGCGAGGCTGAGGCTATTGCGGTTTTCCGTGTCTGAGAAGGCCACGAGTTACCGCAGTTACCAAATACACCATTAGTTCACTGTGCGTTATATGTGCAGTGGCTGACAAACGGATTGTTAATCCGACGGCGACGGCTCCTTCTAATTCCCTGATTGTATAAATCTCGCTGTGTAGCAAGGGGGTTAGGTATTGCTGTGGCGCGCGTAGAGGACTTCGCCGGCCCTGCATTTTCAGTTTCCTTGACTCTGCTTAAACCCCGAGTTCAGGCAAGGAAGGGATGTGAAAGTGCGGTGGTAGTCACTGTCACTGCACCACCACGACGTTGAAACAATTATGCTGTTTAATTATGGCGGAATTATGGCAAGCGTGTGAATTTTGATGCATCTTTTCCAGAAATCACATTTTTACCAATGACAGGATTACATTATACGGGTTATTGGCCTTGAGCGCCCAGTAGCGCAGTATTTCAGAGTCTTGAATTTTTTTTCATAAAAGTTGAAAAACTCTGGGATATCTATCGAAGGATTTGATATAATTGGCTGTATGTTGATGATGGAAATAGGAGTCAATTACCAAATTGTTATTTACGTATTTAAAACCGTCCCAGTGCATGCGACTGAAGCGAAAATTAGTGAAATTTCAAAATACATGCCAAAGTCTACTTTGTCTTCCGGAACAGCTGCAGCCCATTAAATGGCGCTTAGATTAATTTATGGTAGGATGGATTAAACATGGTGTCTAACGCACCCCCTCCGCCTTTTAAAACTGTGTTTCGGTGGATAGAAGAGGACAGGTAAAACGAAGGTGAAATCAAACTCAGCGACGCACCAAATTAACCCTTATATACCATACCGCATGTAACTAAAGTTTACCAAGACAGCTTGGATAACGCTAGTAAATGTTCAGAGACCACTTACTGAACTCATTCGTCCCGCGCTGCCTAGTCTTTATCGACACTATTATCTGCCTAGATAACTAGCATCTGCGGCTGCTGTGGGGGCCTGAGGAATGACACACAAGGCCGAGTGGGAGAAATATGTTCAGTTAGTGGTGAGTGGACGATCACCAACAAGTGTCAATATCTTCCGACCTTAACCGGCAAGACAGAGAGCACATGGCGCAATGACTAGCA